CCCCAAAACCCCAAAACCCCAAAACCCCAAAACCCCAAAACCCCTATAAATAATATGAAATGGAATTTAGAGATAAACTATATAATAAAAAATAGAGGTAAATGGAGTCACTTGGTGGCCGCATAACAGCACCACTAGAGAAGGACATTTCATGTCCTTCTCTAGCCTAGTAGGCTGCTTTTTGTCCAACAGTAGTTATTCCAGCTGTATTCTAACATTTTATTAAGAAATTCACTATTTTCAAAATTATTATACTACAGGCACTAATTGAGACTAATGGGATGACTCTGAGGTCGATGGACCTGGTAGTCTTCTCATATGGTTAACCTTAGCCTGCTTGTTAAGATGGACAAAAATGCTGATTTGCTCTTATAGACATGAATAGCAGTTACGATAGTTCTGATAAAGATGATCGCAAAACATCGAAAAAGAAGAAAGATGATACTTTAGACCATTCCAAGGTAATCAATACTCCATTAAGCATCTAGCTTGACAAAGAAATGAACAGAGTGGCTAAAACTAGAGTTGGCAAAGAAGAAGATACTAAGGACAAGGTCCTTGGCAAGCTCAGAGCCATTAATTTCAGACTAAGAAAGAAGCTGAAGTACCTCAATGAGAAGGTAGAGAAAGCTATTGATCGTACTGAGACTAAAAGAATTCTTGCGGCACGGAAGAGGGCTCCTAAGGACACCGCTCACATGATCAGAGTTAAGGACAAAGAGATTGATAATGCCCAGAACCAGATCGAGTCTTACCAGGTAGAAATTCATAAGCTACAAACAAAGATTGATGAAATCAGTCAAGTGGGGAAAATGATCGAGATTGAACAAGAGGTCAGGGAGCATAAGTCCATTGTTTCCGAACTTAAAAAAGAGATTAAGGACAAGGAACTTCTACTCAAGAATTTGGCTAAATCAGATGACCCAAGCTACAAGATTAAGAACATGATTAATGAGATTAGAATGTGGAAGGAGAAAATCGCTGCCAGGCAAGAGCTGTATGAAAAGAACGAGAATAATGTCAATGGTCAAAGTGAAAGACTTCCTGAGATTGAGAAAGAGAATGAAGAGCTCATGGGCCAAATCCAGTCTCTTGATGCCAAAATTGACTTTGAAAATAGTAAGAAATAAAGACAAGAGAGCTAAGAAAGATCTCGATGACATTGGAGAAAATGTAAAGGCCTCTAAAGAGAAGTTCGAGATGGGCAAGAAAAATCATGAAAAGGAAATAAAAGCTCAGAAGAAGAAGACTGATGAAGCTGAAAAAGAGAGAGAAGAGCTATATAAGAAGTTGAAGGAGCTTGGACAAGAGAAAAGAATCTCGAGTTTGAAGCTAAGAGAAGTAGGAAGAATGCTCAAGCATAACCAACTGAATCCTATCGGGGCAGTTAACACCAAGAATGTAATGACTTCGAGAAGAGGAGAATCAGTCAAAAAGAAGGTTTTAAATAAGCGTGGCTCGACTAGTAATCTCCACTCAGGCTCAAAGCCAAGGAGAAGGTCTATTGTCTCTGGAGAGAAAAAGCTGAGTAAGGGTAAAAACAACCAATCTACCCAACTGCTACACAAGCAGAAGCAGTACTCAAAGCCAAATGAAGATAGTGATGAAGATTTTGAGAAGAACCAAGTTCTTGATTACTCAAAGTTAAAGAAAAGAGTTTAATCCTAAGGATCCAAATTGTTTTCGGTCTATAAATTTCCTTAAAAAGGGGTTTTGGGGTTTTGGGGTTTTGGGGTTTTGGGGTTTTGGGGTTTTGGGG